TTTTGACCTCATCATAACACCGTAGAAAAGTCTGCGATCTTCCACTTTTCTATAGATACTTCCTCAGAATTGTCTGCTATCATTTCATCACTAGCAATACCAGTCAGACGAACTCGACGAGCGCAGTCAGCACATGCTTTCGTTGTCAACCTTGAGATATGTCGAACAACACTTCACCATCACTCGTTCGTCTGTAGAACAGCGAAGCTTTGTGATTATTTGCCAATGGAAGTATTCCAAGGACTTATAACCTCCAAAAGTTCATAATTCACTGCTGTTGTTATTTGTTATCTTATATAGGTATTGATATGTATTTGATATCAACCCTTTCAAGTTGATCTGGTACACCGTATATCAATATAGATATTGTGCCTACTTTCCGAAAATGAAGGTTCATCAAACCTTTCCTCTAGTTTCCACAGGTAATTCTAATCCTTCAGGAAAGGATATAAAAGTTAGGCAAGCTGATGTAAGTTTCGTTTATTGTACCAGTATTCCACCTGAAGAAGCTACTGTGTAAGCAAAATATGTGTTATCAAGAATGTTTCTTTCTACAAGCGTAAAGTAAAATATTACATAACAGGTGATGAAATATTCATGTCAACATTAGTTTTGTAATATTTCACTGTTACGTGAAGAGAGACGTTTCAAAACTTCCGTCAGTTTTGAAAAGTATCAAATTACATTATTAGAAAAAAAAACTTTAATCTCTTATAGATGGTGGAATAGGATGAGTTTTTCCTGTTTTCCGCAGCCGTCTACCCAATTAAAAATATACTCCCCTCCTACTGAAATTACTTCTATTGGGATAGTTAGCTGCGTATACTCGTTCTGCCATAGCAACATTCTCAGAACATCGAAAATAAACCGCCATCATGTCATCATAAGCTTCCACGGTAGAATATAACATGTTTTATTGACTTTTGAATGAGGAAATTTCAAGCCACCTAAATATGAAGATTGCCTAGCAACCAGCAGGATTGACATACAATCATTTCCACAGATATCACAATGGAAGTATATGAATAGTTAATTTGTTCGAAATCAAACATGATTTCTCAATACGAAATGAGCAAATAACTCGAAGACAAATGAAGATATCTAATCGCGGTTTGCGCCAGAGTGTCGATATTTTCATGCTTTTCAAGATCAATGAAATTTTTGAAAAATTCGAAAATGTCGAATAGTCGGTAAACGACGCCCACTATAAGACGTGGTATAAACTAGCGACCGTAATGGAGTCATTTTCAAAAAGAGTGTAAAATTGTCTTCAAAACGAACCTGAAATGATTCAATTTGGATGAGGGGTATGAAATATACAGCAATTTGAAGAATATTATGTTCACAAGCTTCCTGCACCATTATCATTCAAGATACGAAAAAAGTTTGAATAGGTACCGAAACAACGATGAATTGATGATATTTTTCTTTCCGTTATAAAAAAAATCACCTTGTGCAGCGATATTCTGAGATAATTTGAATTTCTTGTTGTTTCATAGTAACTTCGCCCCTTACCGGTTATTCTAGAGATTTGAAAATCCTTCAAATCAATTCCTCATCGCCGATTCCGTCGATAGACTATGTTCCCGGAGCTCTAAGGTTTATTGTTTCTATAATATTGTACCTCGCCGACCTTAGTGTCACACCATGTATACACTTATTTCTAGTACACTTATGTTTGCTAGGTTTACACGAATATTTCAGTATGTCCTGACCAGGGGCGGCGAGTTCAAGGGGGCACCAAGGCAATGCGCCCATGTAGGCGTTTGGTATGGGGGCAATGCACCCATTGACCAAAACAAAAATGTGTCAGAGAATCTGAATAGAAACCGGGCAGCTTCATTACTTGTACATGTCGCTATACATTCATCACCACTTCCTGATTTCAATTTATTCATTTTTCAGTTTCATCGATTGAGTTTTTTCATCGTGTTGATTTTCCAACCAAGAACCTCTACTATACGTGACCTTGGCGTTACATTTGACCAGAAATTATCTTTTGCAGATCATATCCAACGAATCACGAAGGAGTCATTCAGAAGGCATTAGGATTTGTTATTCGAAATTCCGCTAACTTCAGATACATCAGTACATATAAACAACTTCATCATATGTTAGGTCAAAATTAGAATATGCCTCTGTTGTTTGGCCTCCGCATCATATCACTCATATAGAAACATTGGAGAGAGTGCGAAGGCGATTTCTGAAGTTTCTCGCTTCTGAAGAAGATTGGGCTTATCCTAAAAATGACTATCCTGAGGTTGAACTCACTCGGAGGTTTGATATTAACCTCTTAGTGAATCGCAGAATGATTGCACAACAGGTGTTTCTGTGGAGAATACTCCATGGGTACAACATATTTCATTCCATCTATCGATCCTGCGCTTGAATATGATGAAATTTTCACCACTACATACCATATGCAAGATACATGACGAGCATGTATCGCATCAAATAGACATATTCTCCTATAGTGTGGCATCAATAAAAAAGTTAAATTTTTGATAAAATTTTTCAATTTCTGATAACTCTCAACTTTGTATTGTCATCAATATTCCATCTTAAACATTTGTTCTCGTTGTATATCGTTGAATATTATGTACTCATTATCCCTACTCTGTAATTGGATGTATATCTGTTGAGTAGTGTAGATTAAAAAAAAAATAGTTGATGTTCACAATTCATTGGAGAATTGTGTTTTTATCACCTTCATTCACATCTTAGTTCACATTACCATATACTCTGCTCGCATCTGCAGGGCTATCAGTTTCGACCCTAGAGCTGCAGTAACATCACTTTCTTGTTTTGATCAATCGTTTTTGCAATGTGCAATCGCTTTCGCTATGTTCAATCGTTTTCAATGTTTCTATATACTGTTTGAGTGGAATCTTGGGTATTGAACCTGATAACATATTGTCCAAGATCAGATCAGGTTAATTCAAAGAGATGTTAAAGAACATTCCAGTTTTGGTCGTTTTTGAGACGGAAATATTTTGGATCCAAAGTTCATGTAAAAAAATTGTAATCTTGGAACTATCAAACGTGAAGCAGCGGCATATGACGGTGCATTTACCTCTAGAGTTTGTCACTCAAACAAAATATCATATTCCTGTTATGTTGAGTTGAAAAGATCACACCGGATATTCTTCTGTCTCCTGGAGGACATGAAGAAAATCCTTATTATGCTCTTGAACCCCTACCCTTTCTTTTGGCACCAATTGAAGAAAACGAAACTCGCCGCCCCTGGCGACAGAAACATAATTCTGGTGACATTGCATAGGGATATTTTTGTTACAAAAAAAACAGAATGGCTTCTCAAAAATCGCGGACGAGTTTAGTAATTAGGATCCGATTCTTTCCAAAATTGGTATCTGAGAGTTTTCGGGGTCGGAGATTATGATTCTCTCGTCAGAATTGACAAATTCAATATGGTGCTTCGAATATGGTGGACAAGCCGATTCTATCTAAGGGGTTTTCGGAATCGGAAATCATTATTATCTCGTTATTCCAAAATTAGGACGTTCAAGATGGCGGATTCAACATGGCGGAAGAGTTTTGTTATCATCATACGATTCTGTCGAAATTTTTATCAAGGGGTTGCGGAGGTCATATATTATGATTCTTTCGTCAAAATTGGAAAAATCGGGATGGCAGACCCAATACGGCGAACGAGCTTTGTTACCAATAGTAGTTTGAAGCAAGAAGTGAAAAATAAAAAGTAATTTGAGAAATAGTAGTTTGAAAAACTGAAGGAACACCCTTTTATAGAAAGCCAAAAAGAGGGAGCACATGAAATAATGAAATTGTGTTGATAAATACACAACATCGAAAATATTAGCACCTGCGTTTTCAGTAAATTCTATGTTCTGTATTGATCAACGCACTTCCATTATTATATTTCCCACCTCTTTTTAGTTTGGCTATCCATAAAAAGGTGTTTTCTCAGTTCTTAAAACTACTATTTATTTTTCATTTTCTAGTTCAGCTAACTACAAACGCGTGTTCGCAGGATGTTGCACGAATAGGAATTCCCTTTCGTGCGCTCCAAGAGATAAGGAAAGGTGAATAAAACAATCTGAATCTGAACCTAACAATCAATTTGAAGGCAGTCGACCTTGAACAACAACAAAATTCCGCCTGCAGAGCTGTTTTGCTGTATATCACCCCCGCGCCACGGATTATCCCCTCCCCTTGAAACGAAGCTGTATACGTACCTGCTTTTGCCAAATTTCGAATCTATCAGAAAAGTGGGTCAAAATCAAATCCAAAGGAGTCGGTTAAGTGCAAGCATACACGCATACAGGTGAAGCTAATGAAAGGGTAATAATGTATACTAATTAATAATAAAAAAATGAAAAAACACGGTTTTATAGACACCAAACTGACGAATAGATGTAGAAGATGGATGATAGTTCATTGAACAATTAAAGAAACAGGCTTTCATGGAAAGCCACACTGAAAAAAAATAGAAAATAAAATAATAATAGTGTGTTGATAAATACACAATATCGAAAATATTAACACCTACCTACTTGTACTATTCATAAAAACGTGATTCTTCAGTTTTTCAACCCACTATTTATTATTACAATTTTTGTCCATAGAATCTGTGGTTAAAATCTTTCTTTATAATTTTGGGACACCCAATACCTTATTCTCGAATATATCTCAATGCGAGTACCTACCTATGAAATGAACAATGGAAAATCGGAATTGGTATATCATTTTCGTTATCTCCCATGTTTAATTTATTCAACAATTTTGTGAAAAATACTTTGAGTTTTCCACCTGTCAGAACCAGATACGAAACAAAAGAAATTCATGCATTTCGACATTTTATCGTATATCAATAATGTATAACGTGTGAGTAGGTTTAGTATTCCCGAAGTCGGTTGAAGTGTAACTTATAAATTGGTGTCACCGAAATCCTGCCAATCGTTAGTTTTTGAGCTTTTGAGTCGTGTTTGAAGCAAAAATAGGTAATATCTCATCGAACTTACCAGAAGCCTTATGGATCCAAAGAATGCTGATCAAAATAATTGTGGAGGATTTCACATTCCCCACTTCCCTCATCATGCAATATTTCCTACAAATATTGAATCGTTCGAATGTGTATCGTACAAATATTTATCACTCAATTCTGATTGATCAGCGTTTCAGGAGATATCTTATCTAATTATCCTAACGAAATATCTTATCATTGAGATTAATAAAATGTATTAATCAGCACACCTAACTATGATAATATGACTTTAATCGTGAATCGGGTTCGTTGATGATCTTGTTGATAGCGAGATATATTCCTAGAAAATTCAATTTCATCTCTGCATGCGCATAATAGTTCTAAAAAAAAAAAAATTTGTTCTATCCGTCATTCGGTTGCCCCCTTACGAGCAACCCTCAAAAGTCTTCGAAAGTCTTGTGCGAGCAAGGAATGACGGGGGCCTTACCTTTTAACGTGTGATCCCAAGCACTCATTCATACATTGAGGTAGTGAAGAATATCATTATTGCCCAGGGACCAAGATTATATCCCGAGGCTTCAGTCGAGGGAGGTATAAGGTCCCGTGGTAATGATATTCTTCACTACCAAGGTTTACATTAAATTTTTTCCATTTTAGTTATATCAAACCGAAATATGGACCTATTTTCATTATGAAAACACTCATTTTCAATACTGAGCCATGACCATGACAGCATATGACAAGTCGTTGTTGATAAATACCTATACTAGATTCGTGTGCCATTCCTGCGAATATTGATCAGGACAGTGCATTCGGGTTAATTAAAAAATATCATTATCACCTAAGGACCCAGATTATATCTCGAGGCTTCAGCCGAGGGATATAAGGTCCCGTGGTAATAATATTCTTCACTACCAAGGTGTATAATACATTTTTTTCCACCACTAGCAATATATTTCAATCTGTGGAACTGAAATTTGCTGGACTCATATCACTATGGAAGCACTTCTTTTCAATTCTTATTGAAATTTACGCCTGTAAAAGAAGACAACAATGGTAGGTTCTATAGATAGTGGTGGAAAAAATGCTTTTCTGATTCTCTTTTATCTATGATGATAATAATGATAATAATATTGATAATAATTATAATGATAGTAATAATAATAATAATGATAATAATAATAATGATATTTATTTGCCCATCCCTGCCAAAAATGTCTCATAGAAACTTATAAAAAAATATATATGAGGATTAATGAGAATGAAGTTGGATAGTGAAACAGTAATTCCGTATAATCCTATGTATTTTGCAGATCCATATATAATCAGTTTCTAATGGCGATTCTCTCCCTTCTTCTTAAGAGTATGAACTGTTTTTCGCAGATATATTCATAATCAGTTCCTACTAGTAATTCCTGGTTATTTACATATGAGAATATATCAGAGTCAAGTTGGATAGTGAAACAGTAATTTATAAGCTCGAAATGTATTCTGCAGTTACATTTATAATCAGTTCCTAATGGCAATCCTCAATGGAGTCGATGAGTTTGAACTGTAATTCACAGATACATTCATAATCGGTTCTAAATGGCAATTCCTTATTAAAACATCGTAATTCATGATTTTGAAATGTGTTCTGCATGTACATTCATGACCGGTTCCTAATAGCAATTTCCAACGAAGTCTTTGAGTATGAACTATGTTTTACAGATACATTTATAATCAGATTTTGATGGCAATTTCTCATTGAAACACTGTGGCATTCATGAGAATGGAATGTGTTCTGCATATACATTCATGATGAGTTTCTAATAGCAACTCTATGAGTATGAACTCTGTTTTGCAGATACATTTGAAATCAGTCCCTAATTGCAATTTCTTATTGAATTAACGTGGCATTTATGAGTTTGAAATGTGTATTGCAGATACATTCATAATGAGTCCCTTATAGCAATCATCATCAGTTCCTAATTGGAATTCCCCATTGGATCACCGTAGCATTTATCAGTTCGAAGTGTGTTTGACAGGTACATTCATGATGGGTTTCTATTGACAGTACTTCATGTACTCAATGAGTATCAGCTGTGTTTCACAGATACATTTATAATCAGTTCTTAATAGCAATTCTTTTCGAAGTCTTTGAGTATGCACTCTGTTCTGCTGATACATGTATAATCAGTTCCTGATTGGAATTTCTCATTGAATTACCGTGGCATTCATGAGTTGAAAATGTGTATTGCAGATACATTTATAATGGGAATTTTTGAGTATAAACTGTTTTGCAGATACATTCACAATCAGTTCCTTATTATAATTTCTTATTGAAATACCGTGGCATTTATGAGTTTGAAATGTGTGTTGCAGATACATTCAGAATGAGTTTCTTATATCAATTCCGTATGAACTCTATTAGTATAAACTCTGTCTTGCAGAAACATCCATGATCAATTCCTAATCGGAATTCCTTATTGGAGCACAGTGGCATTTATGAGTTTGAAAAGTATCCTGCTGGTACATTCATAATCAATACCTAATAGCAATTCCTCAGGAACACTCAGAGTATAACTCTGTTTTGCAGATACACTTATCATCAGTTCCTAATTGGAATTCCTCATTGAATTACCGTGGCAATTATCAGTTTGAAATGTGTTTCACAGGAACGATCATAATGAGTTTCTATTGGCAGTTTTTCACGTACTCTATGAGTATAATCTGTGTTTCACAGATACATTTATAATCAGTTCCTAATAGCAATTTCTTTCGAAGTGTATGACAATAAACGCTGTTTTGCAGATACATTAATTATAATTAGTCCCTATTCGGGATTTTATTCAAATACCTTGGCATTTATGAGTTCAAAGTGTGTATTGCAGATACATTCATAGATAGCTTATTATAGCACAGTCATATTATGAGATCTACGAGTATGAATTCTGTTTTGCAGATACATTTCATAATCAGTCACTAATCGGAATTTATCACTAAAATACCGTGGTATTTATGAGTTCAAAATGTGTATTGTAGATACATGCATTCATAATGGGTTCATCATAGCAATTCCATATGAACTCTGATTTGCAGATAGATTTATAATCAGTTCCTGATCAGAACTCCTTATCGGAATGCAGTGGCATTTATGAGTTTGAAATGTTTATTGCAGATACTTTCATAATCAGTTCCTCATAGAAATTCCATATTAACTCTATGAGTATGAACTGTGTTCTGCAGATACATTCATAATCAGTTCCTGATCAGAGTTTCTCATTGTACTACAGTGGCATTTATGGGTTTGAAATGCGTTCTGCAGGTATATTCATGATCAATTCCTGATGTATAACTCTGTTGTGCATATACACTTATCATCAGTTCCTAATTGGAAGTCTTAATTGAAACAGCGTGGCATTGATTAGTTTGAAATGAGTACAACATATCTATTCATAAAGAGTTACTATTGACAGTTCTTCAGTATTTTGTACTGAACCCCTGCTCATTTTTTCATGTATCATTCGATTTTGTTTCCAAGAACGATCTCTCATATTTTTTCTGTATAAACCAACAGAAAAACAGTTGAACTTTTGAAAAAATAGTCAGTTTTTTCATTGGCATATATAAAATTTGAAAATTTAAAGGAAGAGTATTGAAGAAAGTTTCTTGGATAAATAAAATTGACAATACATAAAAAAGTTGAGTAGGGGTTCTAAATATTCGTGAATACCCTGTACAGGCTGTCCCATTTTCGATGTCATAACGGGATAGGTATCTCATTTATTTTCTAAAATAGAGATTTTCCATTTTCGCAAACGTGGGCTTCTTTTTAGTGAAACTCACGATACCCTTAACCAAGTTTATGTAGCCCGCTGCCTTTTTGAGATACAGGGCGAAATTGAAAATGCTGCATTTCGGGACCCTTCTTGTATCTCAACCATCTCCCAATTCATCGAAAAAGTCGAAAGTGTTTGTCATACATTTTTTCACGTAGAATCCAGTGGCGTAATCAGAATTTCAGAATAAGCTGCTATTATCCAGATATAATCAATCCGAAGTTATGTTTTTTCAAATGGAACATCACGCATATTTTTCCTCATTTGAAACATTGATGCTTTCCGCTTTTCAAAAATATACAACTTATGAGATATTTCTAGTCTTAGCCCAACATTCTGATAAATTCTAGTTTCTCAGTAGACTTTTCATCGATTGAACTTGTAAATATCTGGCAACATTGTCCATATCATAAATTTTCATATTTGCCTTGTTGCTGATACAATGTTTCGTCACACACTAGATTCAATTTTTACCAACAATAAACATTCACCAATATTTATTGAATATAAAAGCTGTGGACCTAACGAGTAGGTGGCTATGAAAAAAAGCGAGTGCAGAATGTTTTATAATATTTGTCACATACCTCTGTAGAATTTACAATTTTTTCATACAGCGGCGAATAATAATCCAGGATATCAGAACCACAAAAATTTGAAACCAACTCATTTTATATCACAACCATTTCTAATTTTCGTATCCTGGATTAGTATTCGCTATCGTATGAAAAATTTGTGAATTCGACAGGGAGGTGGCAAGGATTTAAAAACATTCTACACTCGCTCTGTTTTCATAGCCAGCTACTAATGAGGTCCACATCTTTCAGAGACAATAAATATTGCTGAATATTGGTAGATCTTTAATGTTGGTGGAATTGAAACTAGTGTATGAGAAAACATTGTGTCGGCAGTAAGGTCAATATGAAAATTTGTGATATGGACAATGCATGGTGCCACATATTCACAAGGCCCATCGATGAAAAATCTACTGAAAAACTAGACATTTTTTAAATTCATGCCTTCTACTATACAGAGTGACCCATTTGAAAGCGGGCCACCCCTGTATCTCACGTAATCGTTGGGTAAGGATCATGAAATTTGCTGGAGCGAGATATATACCAAAAATGCACTCTATAACCAAGTGGAGTCATCTTCAGTGATATACACTGCTCGCCAACAGCCATGGAACCACCCCAATTTCCTGAAAATGATATTAGGAGTCAAAATAGGTTGAAAATCACTTCGGATTCGGAATCAGGACGCCCAATTCACTAACTATTCATATTTTTCCTTGAAAATTTTCAGTTCTGAAACATTAAATTTTGTCGCACTTTTCATGGAAGCACCCCCGTAT